ATATATATATATATATATATATATATATATATATAACTCTACAGAGCGGGACACCCCGTGTATGCTCTCGGCTCTTCGAGTGTATCGGCTTCCGTGGTGGAGGCTGTCGCGCTTGAAATTCGTCCGAAGTCGCTCCTCGTAAATTATTCGCAAAAAACTCACGAGCTTGTAATAAGGCACTGGTGGCGTCGATGGCTGCTGCGAGGCCGGTTTGTTGTCCTCCTCCTTCGTTTGCGGTGGCACGAAGTCCCTGCGGACACAAGGCGCACACGTCGAGCATTAATTAAAATTCCCACCGTTGAAGTTCGAATATTCAACAGAGAGAGCGACCCAGTACGCGCTTTGCCATGCGGCTCGCTCGAGTCGCGAAGCAGTTCTTAGTCAGGAAGTGGCGGAGACACCTTTCTTCTGTGAGCGCGACATGTTGCGCTGGCAGAAGAAAATGGTTGATTCAACGAAGATTATAGATACTTTTGGTCTTGGTCATATCTCGTGATTCTCGTATTCTCAAGCGGAAATGATAGTAAAATTATTATCACTAAAGTTGTTAGCACTAACGTTTTATAGAAGAATTTAAAGCTGCTGGGTACTCGCATTGTCCATCTCTTTTTAATGGTTAATCTAACAAAAATTACAGAAACTTTTGGCCCTAATCATATATATCTCGTGGTTGTTCTCAAGCAAAAATGATAATAACGACATGCATATATTATTATTACTAACGTTTCAGTAAAATTTAAGGCCTGGATACTTGCATTATCTCTTTCTGATGACGTCAAAAGCGAGGAAACGCATGCTAAAAATTCTTGCAAAATACGTCGAGATAAAAAGATTCACAAAATAACATTTGCAGTTGATTAAACATATCTCTAAAATATTACGAACACTTTTCTTTTGCTCTTACAATCAATAAAGAACCATAAAATTAACGTGACATGCAAACATCTTTTTTAATCTAATTTCTTCATTATTCTTCATATTAATTTTACAATTATTTATTAATTGTTAGGACAAAGGGATAGTATACAGAATATTTTAGAGGTACGCTCGATCTTAGGTGTTATTTTGTGGATATATCTTTTTATCTTGACGTATTTCGCAAGAAATACGTTAACATGCGTTTCCTCGCTTTTGATATTATTAGAAAGAGATGGACGACGCGAGTAAATAGCCTTAATAAAGAAAAATGGTTCTCTTGACTATAATTTATAGTAATTACTTTTCTATGCTATTGTAGTTGTACAAACATTAAACATTTTTTTCTCAGTGTTTACGTTACATTCGCGAAGGAACGCGCGACGAACAAAGAATCAGCGTATTCCTTGCGACTTTCACGAAGGGACCTGAGGGGTGTGTCCGCCACTCGAGGGGTTAAGAACCGCCGCGCTGGAGGCTACTTCACGGCCCCCGGAATCGCTGGAATCGGGCTACAAAGGAATAGAGCGATAAACGTACGACATGGTCGCCTTTACGAAGCGGTAAATAAAGGGAACGGGGGAGTTACGGCGCCCCGAAGCAGCCTCGTAAAAAAAGCATGCGTTTGCTCCGAACGAAACCGTATACAGCCTGTAAAAGTTTTACACGGCTCCCCACAGCCGGCAGTATTGAGACGTTAATAAGTCGGCGTGCACGGCAACGATCCATTATCCAGTGCCAACTATCGTCTCGTGCTTTATTTATTTCGAGATATACGTCATAATCTGTAACAAGCTCATTCGTACATCGTTTTGCCATTTTCCTGCAGCATGCACTCGGCCTCATGTTTATCCTTCTCCTTTTCTTGTGTGTCTGAAATGAGACATACAAGGTACCGTACACACAAAATTTCGGAACAACTGCCAAACGCAACGAGTGTCGTAAATAATCTATCGCGGCCTTCGTTCGATTTTTGTGGATATCACACGCGCGATTTGGCTCACCTCAACCGTGAGCCCAAGCGACGATGCAGCGAGATTAAAACATCCATAGTTACGTTGCCCGAATGTTTTTATATTGTGCTATGTCATACGTTCACGCGGCTGGATTATTATACATTCTATTAGAAAAATGATGATAAAAATTAGTAAGCTCTCCTCGAGATTATCTAACGTGAAAAGAATATAGATTATAAGAACAAAATCGCGACATTTCGTAACATCGAAATAGAATCAACAACAAGTCGAGTAATAGATGATTGATTTGGGAATGAGATACGAAAAACTTAACATCATCTTAATTGAGAATAAAGGATAGTTTGAACAGGAAAAATGGATTCATCGTAATAATTCAGCTCCTATTCACGCTGCTGGATTATTGTACTTTCTATTAGAAAAATGGTTATTAGAATGAGTAGGCCATCCTCGAGACTATCTAAGGTGAAAGGAATACGGACTGTGAGAACAAAATTGCGACATTTCGTAACATCGAAATAGAATCAACAACAAGTCGAGTAATAGATGATTGATTTGGGAATGGGATAAGAAAAACTTAACATCATTTTAATTAAGAATAAAGGATAGTTTGAACAGGAAAAATGGATTCACTGTAATAATTCAGTTTCTATTCACGCGGCTGGATTATTATGTTTCCCATTAGAAAAATGGGATTTATTAGAATAAGTAAACCATCCTCGGGACTATCTAAGGTGAAAGGAATACTGACTATGAGAACAGAATCGCGACGTTTCGTAACATCGAAATAGAATCAACAACAAGTCGAGTAATAGATGATTGATTTGGGAATGGGATAAGAAAAACTTAACATAATAATAGATGATTGATTTGGGAATGGGATAAGAAAAACTTAACATCATTTTAATTAAGAATCAAGGATAGTTTGAAAAATGGATTTATCGTAATAATTCAGCTCCTATTCACGTTACTGGATTATTATGCTTTCTATTAGAAAAATGATTATTAGAATGAGTAGGCCATCCTCGAGACTATCTAAGGTGAAAGAAATACGAACTGTGAGGACAGAATCGCGACATTTCGTAACATCGAAATAGAATCAAGTCGAGTAACAGTTGATTGATTTTGGAATGGGACAGGGAAAATTTAACATCATCTTAATTGGGAATAAAGGATAATCTGGACAGGGAAGGTAGATTCACCGCGTATATATGTCTGAAGTCCAGAAAAATGTTCAACGTATGCGCCATGGCTTGTTCAAACAACGAGATTCTCCCGCGGATAATTGAATATGTGGCAATCACACCAGGCAAAAAATGATAACGATTTTGAAAAGTGCGGCCAGCGATGGGACAGGTCGTCGATGGGTCGTGACCAACGCGACTGTCGGATTCCGTCGCTCCGAAGAAATTATCCGACAAATGGCACGGCGGAGTCGCGATTTGCCGGGAATCGTAAATCGAATGTAGGAACCTTCGTAAATCGGCAATTTAAAGATCAACGAGGACGTACGGGGTTTCCGGTAACTCGGTGAGCGCTGAGCAAAAACGGGATCTACGGGAAGTTTCGACGTCGTCGCAAAGCCCGGAGCCCGAAGAGTAGTCCTGGATGAGAGACTTTGGCGAAAGTCGGCCGGCATCTCTCCGCGGGGGCTCCATTAGCGACGTAATTGCTGTTAGAAACTCCCCCGACAAATCTACGATCGGCGCGGAATATAGGAAGCTTTGCCACCTGAAGTAATAACAGTGCCGTAGCCACGTGCGCTCAAACGCGAACGAGTACAGTTATCTTCGTGGAAAATTCACCCACGACGAGCGATCACGCGCTAAATCCCGGGGAATCGTGTCGCGCTTGATGGATACGGGAAACGTTACGAGTGAATCCCTCGTCATTTTTCCGAGCGGCCGAAGATAATGTTTCTGCGGTTGATTGAAACGCCGTTTACTGATATATCTCTTATATTGCTCTCAGCGGTATTTAAAGCTCTTTGAGATATTCGCGCGCACACTTATAATAATATTTAATGAAGTTTTCCTTTTCTACCGTGATTTTACATCGTGGAACACGATGTGTTTTCTTTGATTTTTAGCACAAGGGCGTCTCAAAAGTCTTTCCACGCGATCGAATTATTATCGAGTTATATTTGCAGAACTATTCTATTTCAAATTCTATTCTAGACATATATACAGAGAAAACATTATAGTTATTTTTTCATATAAATTCTTTTCAATTCATTCTATCTCAACTTTGTCAAGTAGTCTAGGAATAAACTGTCAGTAAGATCTATCTTGCTGAAAAATACAATAAATTCGCTGGAAATATAGCAAGTGTTTTAATAACACATTTTAGTTCGTAAAATATGTACAAGTAACACATATGGAATGCACGCACACAGATGGACAACGAATTACTGCAGAACGTCGATCTATTCTTCGGTTATAAAAATCTACAGTAATTTTTACTATAAAATTCCCTCCGTGTAGCAAACATTAAGTATGCCCTTTTAATTTCAAGTTACGTTTTCCTTAAATGGGCGTCAAATGTGACGTTGTTCCAGCTTGAGAAATGATCAGAGAAGCATATTTGATACGTCCAGAATAGGATTTTTTTTGTGTGTTTCCTTTCGCGAATACTTTATCAGATTTTGCGCGAGCAATTAAAAATCTCAGCAATCACGCGCGGGATAGAATGTACGCTGTGTGCGTATTGTCGTCTCAAGCCGGTCTGAACCATAATTCTGTGATTCCGACGGTTTCCTACGGCACTGCTCGGACCCCTATACTTTGCAGGACGTCGTCCTGTAACCGATCGCCTCCCCAGGAAACTTTCTTAGTCGCGACTCTCGAGGAGACAGCGAAACGAATGCCAGTTCCTTCACGGAATTTCAAGTGAAAGACATTTAGTACCTCTTAATACATTTACCTGGCAAATCGTAAGTTAATTGAATAATTTGTGGACTACTTTTATCGCAGGGCTCAAATGAGACCCGCGGAGATCGCGCTCATTGGATATATTAGTCTTTTCGTTCGTAAATGGATGATAAAACAGTTAGTATCAATGACTCTTCTCCTTCGCGATATTGTTATCCTATAAATATCCTACAAGTTATCCTACATAAGTATCCTACATAGTTATCTTACAAGTATAAGTAAAGTCGGCCATTCGCACTTTGATTCCAAAACTTACGTAATACCGATTTCAAGGAAACTTTGAGAAAAATCACTGCAATATATTATAATGCAATTAATATCGGGATGCTCACTAATAAAAAATATAATAATCCAGAATGCTTCGCACATATTTCCAAATTTCGGAATAATCCCGAATTCTTTTCGAGACGTACACGAAATGGCAAAATACTTTTCAGGCATTTTTCATCCTCCAACAATGATCGCTCATTTATGATCGACACGATGTGATACGATCCTCCTTATCAAGTCATTAAACATTATTGCGATATTGCGTGTAATTGATAATCGACGACATTCTTTCCTAAACTTGAGCACATGCAGTCGCATTGATAATATAATACTACGCGTCGACGCTAATCATGATCGTTTAGATCAAATAAGCCAGACATATGAGCTCACACAAACAAATAGATTTGACATAACATTCACAGCACTACAGACTAATTACGTTTGAAGCCACCTGACTCAAGACACTCGAAACTGTTAGGTAAATCGAGTCACACTTTATTGATGCTTTATCAAGGAGTAAATGAATTCATAAGAAAATTCCTACGACTTCAATCTTATCATGAATTGCTTGAATCTTTTTGGTAATGATTCAATAAGAGCTCCCTTCTTTCTTTCGTTTATATTCGAGATAAGACAACTGTATGTATAGTTTTAATAGCGAAAGCGAAAATCACTACGATATTTCTCGACAACTTTGATTACATGTACATATTTCAAAACAAAGGATGAAGATATACGTTCTAACTGTTTTCCTTTTTTTTTATAGAATTTATTTATAATTTCGATAAGCTAAAAGCTTATTCAATCCAAACTACACAAGAGAAAACATTTCGCTGTTGTAGCTAATCATTATTGAAAATGTATTTGTTATTGTAACTGAAGCTTGCTGCTGTTGCTATTACATCGTAGCTAAATATATAGCCCAGTGCCAAGTAACAACCATATGTTACCAAATTTAGGTACTCTCTAAATTACTTGGGTTATAAAATTTCATTAGTAAAATAGAGTGACCATCAAGTCACTCGAATTTGAATAATTTTTCGCACATATAGAATGAATTCTTTACTCTAGTGAAATACTTTAATCTCTACTTTAATCGAGTGAAAATTTTTACTCGAAATTAAAGAATAGATTTGATGTAAGATAAAAGTAACACTAATGCCTAAACACTAACTATCTAATACCTAATTCTGGACATTCTTATTGTTTTTATTTTTAAATATGAAATTTTTTAAGAATTAAACACGTATCTTTTAAATATGGAATATTTTAAATACGAATATTTAAACTTACTTAAGAATACTTTTTCTTAAATACTTTTAAATATTTTTTTTTTAATAAAAACTTAGGTACAAATATATATATATATATATATATATATATATATATATATATATATATATATATATATATATATA